CCCCAAAACAGAATTAATGAATCAGCTAAAAAATGAATATGTTGAGGGGTTCTCATTCAGTACACTTGGGGTAGTGGCCAGAAACCTGCATTTCTAAATCAGCACCCCCAGGGGACACGAATGTGGATCCTTGAATTATACTAGGGGACCACTAGCCCAGAGCCTAGGTGTGGGGGGGCAACAGGAGCAAGGCAGACAGGCAGTGGTGTGACCCTCCTTGCCTCCTACTTGCGGCTCGTGGTTCCCCCAGAGGGGCTTCCCACCAATATGGTTCCTATTCTTCACTACCCTGTTCTTACTCTGTACCCACATTCTAGCTGCAGTGGGACTGTTTTCACTCATGCTGGGTATGGTGGTCAGACAGTGGTCTAGGAGACAAGGAAGGTTGAAATGTGGAAATTTAGGGTCAACTGGAAATTTCTGGGTTTTATTTTTTAATCATGGATTTTTTTTTTGCTTTTTTTTTAAGGTTTATTTTTATTTGGTGGAGGGAGCCTGGGGCCATACCTGGCAGTACTTAAGGATTTACACCTTGTTCTATGCTCAGGGGTCACTCCTAGTGGTGCCTGGGGTCTGTATGTGGTAATGGAGTTTGGACCAGGATCAGCTGCACGCAAGGTAAGCGCCTTACCTCTGTAATATCTCTCAGGCTCTGATTTTTTGATTTGTTAAAAATCTTTTAATATTGCACTGGGGCTGGGGAGATCACTCAAAAGTCTCAAGCATCACCTGATCCTCTCTGGAGAGCTGGCAGCCATCCCAAAGCACTGAGCCAGGAGCAGTCCCCAGCGTGGCTAGATATGGCCTCAAAACAAAAACAAACTAAAGAATAAAATATTGCCCTACCATATTATTAATCTTGGTTGTGAAATGTTTTCTGGCACCCTCTTAGGTGTTACCTCAGAGGTACTTCAACTCACCTCTGATTGAGTGAACATGCCCAGAGTTCCCCTTATCCCCAGTTCTTCTCAGGAGTCCAGGAGAGTAGAGAAGATGGTGAATATTTACACCAGCAACAGACCTGAAACTCCTGCTAAGATCTGGTAACAGAACCAGCAGACACACACACACACACACACACACACACACACACACGCACGCGCGCGTGCACAGCAATCACCCATTCCTGGGAGGGAAGGAGAACCCTCAGTCCTCATGCCCAAATCACTCCCTGCAGATATGACCTGAAACCCAGACACTGAACCTTCTTAATAGTCAGGCAATGTCCCAGGCCAGAGTATTTGCACATGCTGTGCCTGTTGAAGCCCAGAGTCAAATGTGGCCATTTCTCCACCCCCACGTCACATGCTCAGACTCCAAATCCATCACTTGTTCCCTGCACCCTAGTGAGCCCCATCAGACAATATCTCTCCTCTAGAAAATCCCTCACCTCTGGCACTCACTGTTTGTTGAGGCCTACCCAGACCCTCGGTCAGAATTCCTGTGACAGGTCTAAAACCTAGAGGGGCCAGGGGCATGTGTCCTCCATGTTCAAGACCCCATGATGACAGCTGGCAGTGCATGCCTCTCCAGTATCACTGGACCGGAGCACTGAACACCAGCCCAGTGGTGCAGAGGGTGGCCACAGGGCCCTATGAACAGTTTGAAAGCACCCACTACCACCACAAAAAGCAGTGGAGGCAGTGGGGAAGTGGTTGCTAGAGAGAGAATACAGTGGGAAAGGCACTTGCCAACCTGGGTTTGATCCCCAGCATCCTATATGGTCCCCTGAGTCCTGCCAGAAGTTGATTCCTATATGCAAAGTTAGGAGGAAGCCCTGAGCACCACTTTGGGAATGGCCCAAAGACAATAAATCAATAAATAAATGATAAAATCTACTGTCCACTGTCCTCCCGTTGTTCACTGATTTGCTTGAGCGGTCACCAGTAACGTCTCCATTGTGAGACTTGTTTTTATTGTTTTTGGCAATCGAATATGTCACGGGGAGCTTGCCAGGCTCTGTCCTGCAGGCTGGATACTCTTGGTAGCTTGCTGGGCTGTCTGAGAGGGGTGAAGGCATAGAACCCTGGTCGGCCGCATGCAAGGCAAATGCCCTACCTGCTATGCTATCGCTCTGCCCAAATAATAAAATAAAATGAAAAATAAAGGAAATAACAGCAAGAACAACAAACAACCAAGGAGAGGTGATAATATGGGAAGAATAAGGAGAAGCTCCCAACTTTTCCTTGAGGGGGGTTGGCCCCCTGGGCCATCTCAGAACTGCAAGGGATGACCTTACAAATACATGGTGGGGCCAAGGCATGGCCTCTGCTCCCCTGGGACAAGTGCCAGAATAACAACCATTTTACAACAATGGGCCCTGAGAGCTTCTAGGCTCCCAAAAAGTGAAGGCTCATAGGAAGGCAGGTTTCTGGGTGAGGCTGGGTCCTTTCTCCTTCCCCTTGAGTGACACAGCTGCCCCTCATGCAGAGCCAGAACAGTGGAAGGAATTCGATGCCTCTGCTAGCCAAGGCAACTCGCTAGAATGCAAAGCCCACCACCTCTCTACCCCTATCCCCTGTGGACAAAACTAGGGCTCCTGCATCCTGCATCCACAGTGCAGTCAGAAGGCCCAGAGCGCCACTCAGCTACAGCCTCCCAGGACTGGCGCAGCAGCCTAGAGCCGCAGTGACTGCAGGGTGTCAGAAGGGGACTTTGATCTGTGAGACTCTGGGGCGGCACCCGCTGGTTAGGGCACCTGCTGGGCCCCTGGAGGGCCCACCCCTCCATGTCTGAGCCTTCATTTATGGAGGGCTGTTCTCTCCGTTGCCTACCCATTCATCCCCTTCCACCTGGACCTTGGGGAGCCCGGATAAATTTGGGCATTTGCACAACAGCACCGGGCGCTCCTCCTCAAAGGCCCATACACGCCAGCTTGCTGCTGGGCTTGGGGACCCAGTGCTTCCTTTTGTGGGGAGTGCCAGTGCCTGGCTCTCACTAGCCTGCCCTGCTTAGCGGCAGCGCTCCAACTCAATGTCCAGTTGGGATTGGGAGGTGAGGGGTAAGGTCTTCGGCCCTCCACTCAGCCACTGAAGTGTTGACATGATTCTGTAAGTGTGCAACCTGGACATAAGGACCCCGACCCTCATCCCTTGGGATTAGGGAAGTGGCTTTAGGAATTCAAGCGGCGCCTGACTAGGGCAAGCTTTAACATAGCTGCCCCGCGACAATCCGACCGAGCAGGACTCTGGTCCCTCTTCCATTTAGTGTCCAGTCCCTCTCTTGTCTGGGAATGAGACTTAAGGGCACTCACCTAGAGCGCCATCCCAACCTTGCACTCTTCAGCAAGACTGCGGTCCCCATGTTCCTTCCCAGGATGCAGGGACTAGCCTCCCCCAAGATGTTGGCACCGTGTCACCCTTGTAGAGACAGTATCTGGAGACCCATCTCACTGTCCTGTTTCAGGTGGACTCAGTTCAGCTGCTGGCTCTGCCAACATCAGACCAGCACAGTTCAATAGAGTCCACTAAGATCTCAGTGACAATAACACACCAGATAGGGGTAGCTTTGCACATAGCCGACCAGGGTTCCATCCCTAGTTCCCCAAACCCCACCAGTAGTGATACCTGAACGCAGAGCCAGGAGTAAAACCCGAACACCAGCGGCTGTGGCCCAAAGACAAAACAAAAGAGTCTTCTAAAGGGTCAGGAATGCTGCTCAATGATAGAGTGTATGCTTGAAAAGCACAAGGTCCAGGTTCTATTCTGGCACTCACAAATAACCTCCAAAGTCTACAACCCCAAGGAGATGCTTTCCAGCAAAAACTGGATCTGCATCTCACATCTCTAAGGTTGGCAGAATGGTCTGGCCCCTGTATCTGCCCCTCCCCAATCCAGCCAACACCCAGCTACAAGTAAATTAGCCCCAGTTTCTGGAAGTCCAGCATAGCCCCCGACTCCCCAGTTCCCAGCTCCAGCCTCCTCCCCATCAACACTGGCAGGGTAAAACCGAGCCTGGTCACTCCTTTGAAAAACAATTCAGCCCAAATCCTGAGGGAGTGGCGCTGCTAGGAGCACCGGGCTTGTCTGAACCTCTAAATTCCTCCCAGGTACCCGCCCCAGAGCTAAGAAGCCTTCCCAATGCCTAGACCCAACGCCCCCCCGCCCCTCTTCGTTTCTGTGTTTTATCTTTCCCCAGGATGAACCTCAGGCCTGAAAATCTACCCAGGGGAGGGTTTTCCACCTCAGCGCAGAGATACAAACACCCCAGGGAAAACCACAGGAAGTGACCCTCACCTGGGTAGAAATCCTCTGTACCAAAAAACAAATTCTAGGACGCAACAGAGACCCTGACCCAGAAACAGAGATCCCCAAATGTGCAGAAATGTACACATCACAGACACAGCAACAGCCCCAGGAGAGTATTGAAAGGACCCCCTCACACAGACCCCAACGGGGGGGGGGGGGGGGGGGGAGGGGGGGGGAATAGACCCTGACAGTCCCTGTATTCGACCAAACACAGAGACCAGCACTCCTAAGCAAACTGCGAAACAAGTCTCCTAGTCCTTCCCGTTTGGAGAGAAAAATTTCTCTGGGTAACCGGGGGACTACCTTCCTGCAGGAAGGAAGGGGCAGAAAGTCCGTTCCAGGTTAGGAAACAGTAAGGGTATGGAAATGAATATCATTTAAAGAAATCCGTGGGAACAGCACCCTCATTCCCATCTCTTAAGAAACAGGGAAGTGGTTTAACTCGTTCTGCAAATTAACTCCAGACTCAGCACCCTCCCTGCGGCAGAGAGAGGCCAGGTCCTCCTCTGCCCGTGCACGGAGGGGCTCGTGGCTGAATGCTCCATCAAGGGCCCAACTCACCGATTGGCGCAACTGTCCTTGCTCTGGCAGGGTTCCCAGCTTCTGATGGCCCTGTCCAGAGCCCCAGGACCACGGGCCCGTGCCCTCGACACACACAAGAGACACGCACCAGCGGGAAGAAAAAGGGTCTGTGTGCCCGGGACCTGCACCGTCTCGCCCGGTTCTGCCCTGGCAGAAACACACCATTCTTACCTTTCTTGATAACGGACTGGTCCAGGAGGCTCATTCCTGGCTCATCCATGGCCTGCAATTAGGAGAGGGCGGCATAAGGTCTCCAGTCGCTCCCCGGGCCCCTGCGGGTCACTCTGATCTGCTCCTGCTGTTCGCCATCGGTGGCGAGACCGAGATCCGCCTCACCTCGCCGTGCAAGAAGGAAATTCTGAAACTTAGACGGTCCCCTCCTTCCTCACCCAAGCCGGGGCTTCCCCGGCCCACGGGCAGCGGGCACAGATGCCCCGAACGCCCAGCGCGAGGCACGAAAGTGCTTCGGCCTCTGCCCACTTACTCCGCCCAGGGTTCCCGCCTCTAAGGCACCGCGCGCATGCAGCGCCAGACCTCGGAGAGGACCCGGTTCCGTCGAACCCCAGCCCCGGCACCCGAGTGAGAGCAAAGGCAGACGGGGTGGGGGTGGGGGTGGGTAAGCGTTCCCGCGCCGCTCACTCTGCCACCAGCCCGAGTCCTACATCGCCGTGGCCGTCGGTCCCGGACCCTCGCGGCTCACCTGCAGGTCCTCCAGGCCGGGCGGCGCGGCCAGCCCCGGGAGGCCGAGGGGCGCGTCCGCGAGCCCGTGCGCGCCGTCGGCCAGGCCGTGCAGCAGCCGGGGCACGGCGGCGGCGTAGTCGCGGCGCGGGTCGAGGCTCAGGGCGCGGGCGGGCGGCGCCAGCAGGCCGGGCGGCTCGTCGTGGGCGCGGGCGGCGGCGCGGGGCGCGGCCCAGGCGGCCTGCGGCGGCTGCGGCTGCGCCAGGGGCGCCAGGCCCCCGTACGGGTCCCCGGCCAGGTGCGGGAAGGCGGCGGCCGCGGCGTCGGGCGCCTGGCCGTAGGGCAGCGGTGGCTGCGGGTAGGGCGGCGGGAAGTAGGGCGGCTGGAAGTCGGCGGCGGCGGCGGCGGCCGGAGTGTGGCAGAGCGGCGGCGCCGGCCCGTAGGCCGCCTGGGGCAGCGACGACAGGCGGGCCCCGCCGGCCGCGGCGCCCAGCCCGTCGGGGCGCTCCTGGGAAAGCAGAGGGGCGCGTCAGGCGACCCCGCGGCCGCGAGGAGGGCACCCCCCGCCCGTCCCCGGCGGGGCCAGCCGCTGTCCTCCGGGCTTCGCGAGGTCCGGGCTCTAAACCCGAGTGACCGCGCGCTGGGCACGGCCGTGTCCCGTGCGCGCCCCGCTGAACGCCGGCCGTGTCCCTGCGGCCCCCTCCCTCGGAGATTTCGTTGGAGGAGGTGCGGGAGGCTGGGAACGTCCAGGCTCCCGGCGCCCGGAGCTCCGGGCCGGCCCGGCGTGCCCCGATGCCCCTCGCGACCACTCACCATGGCCGAGTACGTGTGCACCAGCATGGGGCGCGAGGCGTGGCGGCGGCCGAAGCCCCTCGCCCGACGGCGCGCGCGGCGGGGAGAGACGCGCCGAGCCCGCAGCGCCCGCCCGCGGGGGTCACGCTACGACGCCGCCCGGAGCCCCGCGGGTGCGTTCAGGGCTCAGCTGCTGGCGCCCCCGGGAGGGTCCATGAGCGCAGGACGAGCGCTCGGTCGCACTTGGAAAAGTCGGGCCGGCGGGTGCCCGGCGCTCGCACGCCCCGGCTCTGAGCGCAGCCTGCTCCATGCGCTCCTGTTATAGTGGCGGGGGCGCGCCGGGGCTCCGGGGGCGCGCATTAAAGAGACACGCGGCGAGCGCTCCGGGGGAGGCGTGGCTTCGGCGCGACCCCCGGGGACCGCTGGCACTGCTGGTCCGAGCCGCCTTGCAGGCTCCCTGCGGCGGCGACGCCGAGGATTCGAGGCTGGCACATCGTCCACTGGATATTAGCAAAGCGCCGCGCTGTACGCACTGGGGATTCTCGTCTGTCAAGGGGGTATCAGGCAAACGGGCATTTCTCCGAGCACCCCGTCGGACTTTGCATGAGGAGGATGAGGGATGTGTGTGATCAACAGACTCGAGCCCACCTGCCCAGTGCACTCTGGGGGGTAGGGTGGGACGACTCCTTTCCCGAATGTTTCTGTATCAGAGTCCCTCCGAAGGTACCATTTCACTCAGGCTTTAAAAAAATCCCAAAGCCAGGACAGGGTCTGAGTAAGTCGGAGGCAAGGACTGGCCCCCAGAGAGAGTTGCCTGATGCTCGGGTGGGCTTGAGCTCCACCCGAGAGTCACTCAGATGTTTCTGAAGCGGGGAGAGCCTGGGCTGAAAGAGCGTGGCCCTTGGCACCGGTGACTGCAGCGAATGGTGGGTCAGCCTCGGTGGACAAACATACTAATTAGCACAGGCGTGGCGCGCGTTCCCTTGGCACTCACTCGCTGGCTCTCTGCGCTTCCACCCAACTCACAGCCTCTTTCTTCCCAAACGCTACCTTCCCCCTGAGAAGCAGGGGAAAGTGAGAGCAATGCTAGGACAGTGCAAGCGAAGAGTGAAGAGCAGCGCTGAAGCAAACCTGTGGATGAGACCGGGTGGGGCACACAGCTTGCATATATGAGGCCCTGGGTTCCAGCCCTAGCCCTGAAATTATATTCAAGGCTCTTTAGGAGAATGAGACCCATCATTGTTACTGGTATTTGGCATATTGGGTACAATAATCTCAGGGCTAGGATGAAGGACCCCAACCAGGGCTCCGGCAGCCGAAGACCTCCAGGACCAGCCACCACCATGCTGAGACCACTCTCCGCACACATGAAGGTACTGGCAGAGGGACAAAGCCACGCGGGTTCCAGGGCCGATACCTCCAAGCCTACTCGGATTGGAGTCGAGCATCTTCCACCCAGATCCTCCAAATTCCAGTAGGCGGGGGTCACACCCACCACCTGGCCCCCTGGTGCCGTGTAATCCCATCAGTGGCCAAGACTCAGAGACTATAAAATCCAGATCCTGGAACCGCGCGGCCGCAGAACTTTTTTTTTTATGACATCTTATTGCCTCATTCCTACTTTGGACAAACTTGCAGGCTATCGAATGTAGCCTGCCCACAGGGCAGAGTCTGGCAAACTCCCCGTGGCGTACCAAATATGCCAAATACCAGTAACAATGATGGGTCTCATTCTCCTAAAGAGCCTTGAATATAATCTCAGGGCTAGGATGAAAGAGACCTTACTGGGGCCTGCTCGAGGCAATCGACGAATAACAGGATGATGAAATGAAAAAAATGAAATGAAAGGATGAAGGAGACGTTACTGGGGCCTGCTCGAGGCAATCGACGAATAACAGGATGATTTGTGATTGATTGTGATTGGGTTCCAGCCCTAGCACTGCAGATGAAGAAAATAAGAACGGAGGAAAGATGACCCAAGAGATAGTACAGTGGGTAGGGCAACTGCCTTGCACACAGCAGACCTGGCACCCTATATGGTTCCCCGAGCCCACCAGGAGTGACTTCTGGTTGAATGCAGAGCCAGGAGTAAGTCTGAGCATGATTGGGTGTGGCTCAAAACCAAAAGGAAGGGAAGGAAAGATGGAAGGGAGGGAGGGAAGAAGAAGGGAGGGAAGGAGGAACCTGAGCAATAGCACAACCAGTAGTACTTACCTTGCATGTGGCCAACTCTGGTTTGGTCCCTGGCCTCCCACATGGTCCCCTGAGCCCGCCAAGAGTGATCCCTGAGTCCAGAGCCAGGAGTATGCACTGAGCACTGCCAGTATGTCTCAAAAACAAGAGAAAGAAAGAAGAAAGAAAAGAAAAAAGAAAAGAAAGAAAGAAAAGAAAAGAAAAATGGGGTGAGAGGGTTGCTGAATAGACAGTTGAGAGGATTAGAGTTCATGCTTTGTGCGTGGGAGATCCAGGTTCTTTCCCCAGCACTGCATGGATCCCTGAACACTGCTGGAAGTGGCTCCCAACCATGAAGCAGATTGTATCATGCGTTGCTGAGAGTGGTCCAAAAACCAACAACAACAAAACATGAACCAGAAGATGCTGGGGTCGGAGTGATAGCATAATGGGTAGGGTGCTTGCCTTGCATGCAGCCAACCCATGTTTGATTCCTGGCCTCTTGTGTGGTTCCCCCAAGTACTACCAGGAGTAATTCCTGAGTGCAGAGCCAGGAGAACCCCTGAGCATCACCAGGTGTGACCCAAAAAGAAAAAAAAAAGAAGATGCCCAGACTCAGGAAGAATAGAAATAATCACTGCAAACACTTGGTATAGATTATGCCCGATTCTGTGCTTAGCACTTGGTGAATATTGAGTTGTTTAACCCTTGCAGCAGCCCTAAGAGATAGAACCATGAATTCTTCTTCTCTGGAGAGGGAAGGGAAATGTGGCAGAGATATCTTGTAGCTAGTTAAGTGGCAGAGCCAGGAAGTCTGAGTCTAGCCCTGTCTTTTCTCAGGATTCCTGTTCCATATTGCCTTTTAGTCCTGCTTGCCATTGACCTGTAACTCTGGGTAAGTCCCCTTTTCCTTCTGACACCCATTTCTGAAAATTCAATGGCAGTTAGGGGAAAGGCAGAGAGAACTAGATGTATTTGATGCTTAGGGCTCAAATCAGTGGTGCTCAGGGAATCATGCGCTGCCTGGAATCAAGCCCAGAAATGCTGCATGCAAAGCATTTGCTCCAACCCTTAAAGCCACCTCACTGGTCCCAGATGTTTTCTTAGTTCCCTTTCTAGTGACGAAGGAAGTAAAAGTATTGGAAGATGGAAAGGGCAGCATTAATTCATAAAGGGTCTGTGGAAGAGAGTGGGAGGGTCTCTCAGAAGGCTCCGGTCTAGGTCATTTCAACTTGGGGCATATGGGAGAGGAAGTTACAACATTCAAGGATTCATCACTAAGAAATTTCTGGAGGCTGGAACCACTGGATAGGATGGTGGATGATGCAGAATAGGGCAGCTTTAGTGCCCAGGATGGGTCTGAGTTGGGAATGTTACTATGTGTGTTTATTTATGTAGGTGTGAATCAGTGGCAAGACCCCTCTCCCCCCACCCCACCCCCACTTCAGCCATAGGACATCGAAAATGAAGCTTTCAGGGCAGAGAGATTGTTCTGTGGGTAAGGAGCTTGCCTTGCAGGCAGCAGGCCCGATTTCAACCCCCAGCATCCCATAGGGTCCCCTTGAGCACTTCTAGGAGTGATTTCTGAGTGCAGAGCCAGGAGTAACTCCTGAGCATCACAGGTAAGGCCTAAAAACAAAAACCAAAAAAAAAAAAAAGTGAAGCTTTGCCTCAATTGTATAGTGTCAGGGCTTAGCAGGCAGATTGGTGGAGGAGTTCAGCCAGCTCTGGGCATTCTGGCTATCTCCAGCAGGCATGGGAGGAGGAGTAGAACAGGGCTGGCTACCTGTCTGGTGACTTCATCATGGTCCTCAGTTTACTTCCCTGAAGCTAGATCCAGCCCCTTGCCTCAAAGCCATCCTTTCTGGGCTGCTCACTTCTTTGGCCCCAGCTCTTTTCTTTTGTCTTTAAAAAAATTGTTTGTTTGTTTGTTTGTTTGTTTTGGACCCTACCTGACTGTCCTCATGGCTGATTCCTGGCTCTGCTCAGGGATCACTTCTGGGTGGGGCACAGGGGATCACATGGAATGCCAGGGATTGAACCCAGATTGGCTGCATGCAAGTTAGTGCCTTACCCGCTGTACTCTTTCCAGCCAGATCGCCTCTTTTCTTTTTTCTTTTTTTTTAAATTAAAAACAACATGCTTTTGTTTGTTTGTTTTCTTGGGCCACATCTGGCAGTACTCTGGGTTTACTCCTGACTCTGCACTCAAGGATCACTCTTGGCAGTACTCGGGGGACCTTATAGTGTGCTGAGGATTGAATCCAAATCAGCTGTGTGCACAGCAAAAGCACCTTACCTGCTGTGCTATCTCTGCAGCGTGAGTATCTTTTCTTCTTCTCTTCTTCTCTTCCTTCTCCCCCCTCCTTCTTCTCCTCCTTCACTTCCTCTACCTTCTCCTTCTCCTTCACCTCCTCCACCTTCTTCTTCTCCTTCACCTCCTCCACCTTTTCTTCTTCTTCTTCTTCTTCTTCTTCTTCTTCTTCTTCTTCTTCTTCTTCTTCTTCTTCTTCTTCTTCTTCTCCTCCTCCTCCTCCTCATCCTCCTCCTCCTTCTCCCTCCTCCTCCTCTTCTTCCTTCTTCCTTCTTTCTTCTTTCTTCTTTCTTTTTTTGAAGAAAAGCACAGAGATATTCCTTCAATGTAGACAAAAGCCAGAACTCTTGATACAATTGTAGAGTTAAAATTGATTAAATAACAAAAGTTTCAGTATTAAAGTCAATAAGTTTAAGGGCCAGAGCAATTGTACAGTGGGCAGGGCATTTGCCTTGCACACTGCCAACCCAGGTTCGATTCCCAGCATCCTACATGTTCTCCTGATCAATGCCAGGAATAATTCCTGAATGCAGAGTCAGCAGTAACACCGTGCCTCACTGGATGTGCCCCCCCAAAAACAAATAAATGT